GTAGTCGTCGTCGTCATCGTGGTGGTGGTCGTCGTAGTAGTAGTAGCAGTAGTGGTAGTCGTGGTCGTAGTCGTCGTAGTAGTAGTAGTAGTAGTAGTAGTTCTCGTGAAGCCTGCGCTTCGACGATCCAACTCCACTACAGCACAAATGGTCAGTTTCCCAATTTAGTCACAGCGTTCTCGCTGCATCAAAGCTGCGGATCTGTGAATGCTACTTTGGAGATTGATAATAATGTGAGTTGGGAAGAGCCTGCAAGCACTCGGTTCACCTTGAAGCAGCTTGTGCTGACGAAGGAAAAAGTCTGAAAAAGTTGTTCTTACGCCAAAGCCAATGATGCATTGTCGCACTGAAGGGCGGAGATGTCTGTTTGACCGGCAGATCCCGTGTCTTCATGCAGAGGGCCAGTTGTGATTGCTGTCGAGTATTGGTGTTATTTGAGACATCGAGCATTCCTACTCCCGTCAAAGAGGCTACGGGTGTGGCTCTTTTGCCTGATGCAATTGGCATTTACTCATTCGCAGGTCTTGTTTTTTTTTCAACCAAGCCAAACGGGTCAATGCGTCTTGTGCTGATGCCTGCCCTCGCAAAAAGAAGAAAACAAAGATCGCCTTCAAGTTAGTTACATGGCCATGCGGTGTTGGGGTCAAAAACCTGTTCTGAACGGTACCTATGTCGGTTTCACCGCGCAGCGATTGCCAGTGCGGCAACCCGCAGAGTGCAGAAGTCGCTTGCGCAGCATGCAATTGAAAATTGTTGCTGCTGTTGTTTCGATGCTTTTCCTGGAAAATGAAGGCAGGGCGCCTTCAAATGATGCCCGTAGGTTCTGTGCATTGCGGATGTGCTCCACCCAGAAATCGCGTTGATTTCACGATCGGTTTTTTGAAGAAGATCGCATGAACAAGGACCAAATGAGAAGAGCAAAGGTATGTGTATAATATTTTTCAGAGTCTGTTGCCTTCCGGCGCGGTATTCCTAGCTTTCTGACACAGATTCTTCACCCTTGGCCACTGCAGGAAGTACCGATGAGGCCCAGTGCAAAAGAGCCAATGACTGCATTCATTGTTCATGTTCTTTTGCCGCCCTCCGCTTGCCCTTGTTCGATTGTCAGAGCAGTCCAAGCAAGTGCACGCCCGTCTGGATGCCAAAGTCACCAAGGAGGCTGTGGTAAAAATGTTGAAGATGACCGCAGGTTGCCGCAGCAGGGTGATTAACAGAGCTTTCCACTCGTGAAATGTGAACGCCTGCCCGGAAATAACAAGTCTCAAAATGTTTTTTGGCCATGGTCCATGGCCGTGGAAAGCTGCCAGCAGCAGAAGCCTTACCTGTCAGGTTGGGATTCCATGTAGTGCGTGATGTTTGTAGAACCCCGATTCGTAAATCCTCGGCTACCCGGCTACAGATTCGACTCCGGATCTGCATCGAAGCTTTGGTAGGGAAGTTTGGAAGATTCACGAATGACTTTGAAACGGCTCTTTTGTAGCTCGACGGCAGCACGGAGGCGAAGAGGGCCTCGAAACGAAAACCTGACATCAGCCCCAAAAACCCTGGAAGCCCCAAAGCCCCGAACCCAAGCAGCCTAAACACGGTGGCCTTGCCGTTGTCCTTCAAAGGTCGGGGGTCGCGTGCTTGGTGAGCGTCTGCACCGAGCAGACGAGGCTTTTCGCTGCCAAGAAGATGGTTTGGGGTTTTGCCGTGTACACAAGGAAAGGGTTAAGACGGTGGGGTTGGCAGCGGATAAAAGGTGTAGGGTTTAGTTTAGGAGATATGCGCTTCCACACTTTTCGCGTTTATATTTTTTTCAGAGGGGCCTTCATGGGTAAGCTTTTGCGGACATTCGGGTCATGCGCCCAGTTTGGGAGTTTGGGCTGGGTTTGAGGGGTAAGGAGATGCTCAGATGACATACGCACAGCTTGTTCTACTGTCGTGGGGTGGCATCTTTGGGCATGTGTGGAACCTTGAGGAGAGTCGGGGTGTGAGCTGCGACCGGAGCCAAGGGAGCATCCCAACCCCAAGCCTGAAGCCCCTAAACGGCCCTAAACTGCCCGAACCCCTGAAGTCCACCCAAGGCATGTGCTGCAGCAAAGTAGTTCTTCCTGGTATTTTGTGCCTGTCATCGACCTGTGCAGCCAGGCATGAGGCATCTATTTGTGATCTTCGGGCAGACGTTCTTACATTGGTGTTGCCGTGCACCCAGGCAACTACAGCTTCCAGGATCGATTTTCCACATGGTGAGACTTTGAGGTCGTTTCTCGACGTGACTTCACTGTCGAAAGCTTGCTCATGGAACCACGTAGCACAAAGGCCGGGGTTGTTGCCGGGACTTTCGGAGCAATGCTGTGTATTTTCAAGACCACAGCCGATGGAAACTGAAGATCCGCATGGGCTGCAATATCGCGCTGCGGCCACAAGACTTGTGGGCCAGTTCAAGGAAAGCCCTGTCCACAGGCTTGCAGCAGTGCACGAGCACTGGCGGGAGCCACAGCGACATGCACGGCACAGCTCTGTCACAGCACTGCGCGAGATGCGACAGGCACCTGTTCGTGCTTCAGTTCTTCGGCGTCTACTATGACGATTACATGCGCTTCGTGGAGGCCTCCAAATCTCAAACTCTGACCATGGGGCCGGTGCGCACGGGCACCTGTGAAGAGGTGTGGGACGACGGCAGATGGCGGCGACTCTTTGTCTACATTCGACAGGTCACAGCACAGTAGTTTGGAGACCGATGTCCATATGGTTCTATCTCCAATGTTTTTTTGTGTCGCGTGTTGAGAAATTATGCTCCGCTGCCGGTTTTCATATCAGTTTCAAAAGCTCGGTGTAGTACTGCTTGGTGTTTGGCAGTAAGATGTGTGCGTGGCAGTGGGGCCAAAGTGCTGTTTGGAAGTAAGAGACTTAACATGGTTTCGGAGTTTCCAGCTAGGGTTGGTCCCGCAGAGCTGTTGAAAGGTCCACCACAACGTGGACCAGCAGAATGCCATGAAAAGGACCATGCCTGCCCTGTCAAACACTGAGACGGCCAGGAACATGGCATGTCGCTCTGCTGGCACCATTTGCATGCCAAGGCTGAGGCCTTGCGCCTGGCTTGGAGAGGCAGGATGCATGCTTCTTCACTTCTTCCTTGTTGTCCAGCACAGCATCCAATCTCTGTGGGATTGCGAGAGGTTAGTTGTACTCGTTTGGTTCATTCTGAAGGAACCTCTGATCAAGCCTACCGTGGCCACTGCTCTCGTGTGTCGCGATCTCTTGGTTGCTGGCTTCCTCAGGCCTTCGATGGTGCCTACCTCATGATCTTTGCCGATGCACCGAAGTTCACATCTCCAGCTGCTCAACGGTCGATGCTGACTACGGAGCTTGGACTGAAGGTGCTCACGGATCGTCTGGAGTTCGCGGCCAGACAAGGAGGTGTCGTCGGCGTCTCACAGTGGATAAACAGGAGCATGCATCTTGAAAGGCATGCTCGGCGAAAGCGTTATCGCGGCAGCCACAAGCCCCGGTTGTACGAGAGAATAGGGAAGATCTTCCTTGGTCCAACAGACTCCGTCGTTACCAAGGTTTGGAGGTTGCAGACAACTGCTGAGTCCCTAAAAATGTTTTTGCATCTCAGACCTCCGGATTGCCTCGTGTAGCATCTCGCATGAGGCAACGTCTTCTTTTGGGAGAATGGCCGTGTGGTGCAAGTGGTCCGTTGCAGCGATGGGCAGGCGACCTTGGAGCAGAGCGGCAAAGCATGCTGGCAACAGAGCTCACAAACCACTCCATCCATATCGTCGATCGAAAGGTTCTCAGGGAGATTGACACAGGACAGACTTTCAGAAGCAATGGCCTCAGGCAGAGAAGTCCAACAGGAAAACAAGGTCAGGGACAAGGGCAAGGTGTCAGACCTGAGATCTCCAGATCTCACCAACGCGACCGGACCTCCTTTTTATCTTGAGTCTTGATGTTCAGGATGCTTCCACAGACTCGCCAACGTCAAGAACAAGCTGTTCGTCTGCTTGAATGATTGCATCAAGGTGGACTGTTGAACGGCTCAACTGCGGGGATCGTTATGGGTCTGCGCAGCTTATCTATAGGTCTGGGAGTACGACAGCTCACGTGAGCCAGTTACGCTTCCAGACGCCAGGCCAGGGCCGAAGCTTTATTGAGTGACTTATGTAGCATGGTCCGGTGGGTGGGCCCATAGCCATGACGAGGGAGTTTTGCACGGCGTTACGGTGTTCGGATGTGTTTGTTTGTCCAGGCATCCCGGCTTGCTTTCAAGAGCAGTGGCCCCAGCAAGCCCGCAAGAGCTGCAATGCGCAGGCAGCCAACCCTTTGTCAGGTTGGTCGCCCCCTTGAGCTGTTGGTGCACAGGCTGGCAGCAGCACCGGCAGCACCACGCAAGTTTCGTTGTTGGGCCCATGCAGGCAGAGGCTCATCCTGGTGGAGAGCAGCTGCTGCCTTCTTTGGCACACGGAGACCTTGGAGTTTATTTGCTGCATCGAGGTGGGGTGTTGCCCTAGCCGTAGCCGCCACAGCCCTAACAGACCTCTGAGAGAGTGTCGTTTGCCTCGTGCCAGCATGATGACATTGGTACGAGCTTTGGCAGGAAGAGTTTGGTTCCTAGAACAGTTCAATCCTTAGCCCCCGTCAGTGTGCCGATTTGCAGGTCCCACCACTGAGATCGAGCGTTCACCCGGCATCACTCCTACAGAGCTTCAGACTCTGGCCGGTGTCCCGAAGTCGCTTCTTGTGAGGTGCACGCGACACGCTGCAGGCGCTTCCCGTTCTGACGAACTTAACTTGCGGCTTAAAGTTGGCCTTGCAGGTCCAGTGGATGGGGGACTTGTTGGTAACCTGGCGCCATGCGGCTCCTCATGCTGGTCATGCGACAGCCGACCCTGTGCAGGTGCTTCAAGAGCAGGGAAGTCATTGTTGGAGAGTGTTCCCGAGCTTTTCTGGACTCCTTGGGTGCTCACAAGTCATGATACGTCCGCTCCATGCAAGTCGGCTCGTAAGCCCGATGGAAAGGATGCAGCCTTTGGGTCCCCAGGGGCAGAGGCGGACGGTTGCACTGGGGACCCAGAGACGAAACGGCCTGAGTACGGAAAATTATCCTAAGTCACTTTCGGTTCTCCGTGCCATCACCGCGACATGATTGGGAATGCGAGCACGAAGAGAGCCAGCAGAGTTCGCGGGGAGGCCATGCAGACGTGCTGCGCTGGTGTCTCCACCAGTGAAATCGTGAGAAAGCAGGGAGCAAGACTGTTCCACCGGAAACTTAAATGCCACGACTGCCATCTGACACTATACTGCACTCCAGAAAAGCCTCGCACGAGCGTCCTCGGCTTTAAATCCTTACTCACGCGTGCAGACGGCTCCTGTGCGAAAGTCGTGTTGTCTCCATTGAAAACCTTGGACTTTTTGCTGAGCCTCTTCTTCCTCGTTTTTAGGGTTTCCGCTTGTCAGCAGGGAGACCATGTCACCATCTACAGCTCTCTCCTTGCTTCATGAAATGCTGTTCGTACTTTTCGTTGCCAGCTGGTTACCTGCTTCGTGTGGTGCAGCAGTATTTCACAGCTCTCTGCCGCCCACGCTGCATGTGCACTTTAATCAAGAAAAATGGTCAGACTCCTGTCTCTGAACAAGAGCCTCATGCAGCAGTGCCCTCGTGCGTCGATTTGCTCTGACATTCGCCCATGCATGCACACCGCGGGACTCTTCACTCTTCGTGACTTCATGAGAAGATTTCTTCCTCTACGCAGCGCGTCCCTGCCGCTCCCTATCTGTCAAGCAGCTTTCGCCCTACCATCAATGCTTCTTAGAAGCACAAGTCCCAGAAGCTTGGCTCTTTTCCGAAGTTGTGAGAGCAAAGACCAACCACAAAGACACGCCAGGCAAATCTCCCTCGCAAATGTGGCTGCTTTTGCCTCTGTGATCCAAGCTGGAACAAAATGTGGAGATTCATTTTCGAGATTCGACAGTGTGGCTTTAGAAAACGTCGTTCCGCAACCGGATCTATTCCTGTCATGAGGTACTTGAAGGGAAATACAGTTCATGTCATGCTCTACCTCTACCTCTACCAGGGCTGCTATGGACAACTTTGGCGTCGTTTCCCGCACTCTTCCAGCCATAGTGTCATGTAGAGATGTCCTCTTGCTCATTTTGCTTCATGCTCATATACAGACACCTTCGCAGATTGAGAGAGCTACCGTCAATGCTTTCGTGGTTCTCAAGCGTTTTCATGTGCCGTCCCAGTCTGGGATGCAGAATGGTATTTTTTTGCTCGCAGAGCAATGTTTTTCACCTGGTCAAGCATCATGGACAGTGTAGACGATTTATTTCTGCACCTTGATTCGTCCAGCAAATGGGCATTGTGTCAACCTTACCCCCACGTCATTATCAGGGTGTCTTATCTACTCTTTCTGTGGTCCTCTTTGCCAACGATGACAATATTTGAGAGTCTGTCTTTACTTTAAGTCTACCAGTAACAAGAACACTAGCCAGTACCCATAACATAGGATCTCCCATGCCGTCTCAGCAACGACATGACTAAGGCCCCTTCTATGACTTCCTCCTGGAAGTGGACTGTTTGTTGCTCGATCGTCCTCTCGCTTTTGATGTTATCTCTGGGCAGTGTTCTTTTGCTTTCAACTCTCCCAGACAGATGCTCTACACTTCAAATCTAAGATGAAAGCCTCCTGCTGTGTCGAGGTTTCAACCCCTCGCAAAAGGACAGCTCCAAGTTCTGCCTATCGATGCCCAGACCAGCATGATGTGGATGGACAACATTCCGCTCTACAGAACACTTCCCCCTGCAATTCGCACCAAGTGGTAAACAAGCCGAGGAAACCTGGGGGCGGAGGATGTTTAATCAGACCTGCTGGTAGCAGAACTGTAGGAATGGAATCGGTGCTGATGGAGGAGAGCAATTCCTGTAGCCGTAAGGCTTCGGCGAGACTGTAGCAGAGGGACAACAAATCAGCTTAAACAAGGCGTACGGCAAGATTTGCAAAGCGGGCAGCAATGCTAAGACTGTAGAGCTGGCTTTGTTCATGCCTTATGCTATCCTTGTCGTGATTGCTTGTCATGCCAGCCAGAAAGCCAGCCTCGCGGTTTGATTATTTTGAGATTTGGTTTCAATGCTTTTGTATGCACTATTATGCACTCATGCCCGGTGAAGCGAACTGGAGGGAGTGTTTTGAGCATGCCCTCCAATCTGCCCCTTGTTCAGCGGAGGGCCGTGGCAGCCAGCGATCTTTGAATGTCGCGTCCCCAGAGTAGGCGTGCACCTGGCAGGAGACAAGTGCGCAAGTGCAGAGAAGTGCAGAGGTGTGGACACTGGACGGAGAGCCTCGGGCTTTCTTGCAAGCGGACAGCCCGCTTGTGCAGGCACTGCGTCGACGCCAGTGCTGAGAGTTGACTGCAGTGTGAAAGCAGGTGGATGTGGCGCGTGTGACCTGGGTGTCTGCTTTGGGCCCGAGCATTCCTTACCAGGATACAAGTTGCATGCAAGTGTTGCTTTGTTGCAGTAAGGTCTACACCTTGGATCACTTCATCATTTGCGCATTGGATTCGAGGTTTGCGCATAGGAAGTGTCAAGATCGCTGCAATTCAGCTGTTACATATCCAGCTCCATCGCGTATCCAAGTCACTGAAGTCAAGCTTGGCACCGAAGCGTCCCTTGGCACTGGCAGGTCTGTGATAACCCTTTGGGACTCCAAAGCTGGATTTTCGCCCATATTTCGCTTCTACAGCGGCTGCGAGGTGGAACAGCGCGGTGCATTGAAGAACGTCCTGGAAGCGGCGTAAGCAAACGAGCCATCTTGCCAGGAGCCCTTCGACTTGGTGCTGACGCAGGCTCAGAAGGGTTTTACGCCCCGAGTTTCTACCCTCTTCACTATCTCTTCTGAATTTTCTGGTTGCTGCAGGATTTCATGGTGGTAATTCAGGACAACATGTCTGCAAATCGCCAGTTACTCAAGCTGCTGAAGCTGCAGTGGCCTCCGCAGTGGCTTGGTTCGTGCCTTCAGGTCTCGATCTCTTCTTCTGGAAGCTCTGGCTTCATCCAGACTTCGAGGCCCATCAAATTTAGCCGTCTGCTTGCTGGAGGGATCATCATGACAGGTGGAGGGCCAATCCATGGAAAGTGGAATACTTACAGGGGTCTGTTCAGTGAGTCAGGTTTCAAGGCAACGAACGTTCGAGCCTACTAGACAAGGCTCTGCAAGACGACAGCTCGAAGGACTATGAATGCCACCTGCTGGACAGGCATGGTTGAGATTTGCCACGATTGTTCCCTCAGGAAGACACCAACGAGAGGCTGGCTCAGCACGAATCATCACAATTCGTATCACGGTGCTCTAGGTCTGTGATGTGGGAAGCAAACGATGAGTCCGAAGCGTCATCACACAACGAGTCATGTTCTGAGCAAAAGTTGGTTCAGTCTCAGGCTTCTGTGCAGAAGTCACGACTGCCGGCTGGAGCTCGATTTGCACCTCAAGGAGCGCGGTTTGGGATCCTATGCATGCAGATGTGTCAGAGAGATGTCGCAGCTTTTTGCATTCCCATGTTCTCGAAATACCTCACTTACAAGGTGGCGCTGCTCTTCCTGCTCCAGCCTGATAAAGCCGTGCACCACATGCACATGGGCTTCTTGAAGTGCATTAGGCAGCAGTTGGGACCGGCCTCGTTGCCGTTTTGGATCTGGCCGGCGTCCCGGGTCAAAGGTCACTTGGAGTTTACACCCTAGGAGCCTCCGAGAGCTCACCAGGCTTCTGCAGCTGCACAGCTAAGTGGCGATGCGTTGCAGAGTCGAACTCAGCTGAGCAATTCTGTGCTTTTCTGTGTTTCCGGATTGCCAGCAATACCATGAACCCTCATTCGGAAATGGACGTGTTTGAACTGCATAAGTTCAACAGGGTATGGCACATGTCCATGACACGTTCTCAGGATTTGCCATTTCGTGTCAAGCAGATCAAATCCAAAGTATCGTTCACTTGATAAGCATTTCCATACCGAACAGGAGGAGCAGTCGGGGCTGATGAGCTTACGCAGTAGAGCTCTGCGCATGCAGAAGAGCAACCGACCGAACCGTCGCGGTGCCGCAACCAGCAATCGATATCTGTTCCCAGAAGTTCCACTTGGGGAAAAAATGACGACTAGATGCCCCCTTTGCCTTGTTCGCTTCACTGGTTGCTGGTTCCGGCTCGCCTGGGTGCATGGGAGAGCCGTGGGCGAGCGTTGTACTTGACTTCTTTATTGCCCAGCATGTGTTCCTGTAGAACGAGTCCCAGCAGGATCCGTCAGTCGATTCGCGTTTGGGCTTGGCACAACACAACTTGGGCCTCCACGCAGGTTCATCCCATCTCTCGCTATTGCCGCCATGGTTTTAAGTGGTACTTGTGCTGAATGCAGCCACATTGTCATTATCAACCACTTGATTGCTATGATCCTTAGCTGGTTACTCGAGGTCACGAATCCGCTTACTCCTCTGCTTTGCATGTTTTCTGCTTCGCTGGAGTTCGGAGATGCTCCCTTCATCGTTGACGCCAGAAGGACGGCCAAGCCTGGATATCGACGCTCTACACACTACTTGTACTTTTCACGACGATAGGTCCCTCCCATTCCCTCCCCTGGTGCTGTGGTTATTGTCCCCTTCGCCAGCGTGCTTGCTGGGACCTCAGGGCCGGCACTAAGGCTTGGGACTGTTTCCAGGCCGCAGAGCACCCAGGAAGCAGGCGTTAGGATCACAGCAGGGCGACAGTGCCGGCATGCTTTGGATTTTTCATGTGTTTCTTGCGCGAGTGTTCCCGGCAATCGCCGGGTGATCACGGTTGTGGGACAGGTATCGGGATGGATCGTGGTTCGCGCCTGGGGTGCGCGGTTACGTAAGTGTCAATGCGCAGCAGTTCGGATTGATCCCGGTTCGCTCCTGGTGTGCGCGGTTACATGTGACATGAGCTGATAGAACAGCTGTCGGGATGGACACCCGTTCGGGCCTGGAGTGCACGATTACACAAGCGGCAATGAGCTGATGGAAGCTGTGTCGGGATGAATCCCGGTTTGCGCCTGATGTTCGCGGTTGGCCACCCGGTGTGCCGGTGCCAGGTTTTTCAGAGTTTTCTGAGTGGTTTGATCCTTAAGCCTTCGGGCGGGAGGCGATGCCACTGCTACCTAACAGACCAGGCCTTTGGGTTTCGGTCGTCCCTCCACTCTCCACTCCACTCCACCCCACTCTGCTCCACGATATGTCCCTTGACTGCTGTCACTGCTGATTGCAAGGTGCTCCAAACCGTTCGTACAAAGGGTTGCCGGAGGCTCCTGCCCTGAAATACTGATGAGCAGTCGATCACGAATGCTGCAGTGCGTGTGCTCAAGTTGTAGCACATAACAGTCCGCATTGCGTCCATTCCTGTTCTCTCCTCCTTACAGCCCCAAGGCGGTATGTTGCTCCAGGCAATTAAATATTGGTTGGATATAGGGTTGTCCGACCTTTGGCGGGCTTCGGACAGGCGACCCACGGCCGGGCTTTCGTTTGGGGGGGTGCGCGCAGCCATGCAGGCATGTATAAACGCGAGCGAACAAAGTGCCTGCATACCATGTACTCTCATGGGCAACTTCATCTGCAATCTGAATGAGGTGTTGGGACTAAGTAGAGACCCAGATGATGCCAATCCCCTTTCCTGGAGGTTGTAATTAATGAGTTGTATAGAAGTACACCATCCAGGTGGCCAGCCCCAGTGGTGGCTCAGCGAGAAACAGTGACTTCTCCGGATATTGCCTCCCCCCACTTCCTCGCCAGCATGGAGTGACGCCTTAGCACAGCCAGCATGCCTTCAACAGATGTGCGAGAGAGGACCGAAGAATTTAGAACGACAGATTCTTAGGAGCTGCTGGGTTCTTTGACATATCCTCGTCCAGGCACTTTCTGTACAAAGAACTTCGACCAAATTGTCGCCTGATCAAGACGCACGGAGCCCAGTATACGTCCCACGAGCAACATCACAACTGTGGACATCTAAGGCTCAGCCTTCCAGATGTCGACACTTATTTCGCCTCGTACAGGCCAGGGTCTGCAGTACATGCGCAAGACAAGGGTTTGAAACTGATCTCTGCGGCGCCGGCGCGAACAGCCACAAACAGCCACATATGCGAGTGCACACTGGTTTCTTTTTGCGCAGGCGTGATGACCTTGTGAATGTCTGTCACATGAGACGTGTAGCTGATGTAGGCATGAGTAGAGCCCATGTTCGCGTCATGAAGTTAGGAATGCAGTGTCATGGTCCATAAAAGTGACCGTTCGATTTTGTATGCACGCTGCATGTTGCTTGCAGCAGGCTGGAGTTTTTGCTTTGCATGTCCGGCAGAAAGGCATCAAGGAGAGCAGAAACGACGCAGAGTGCGTGTAAACACGCCCCACGGAAACTTGCAGGATAATCCTTGAATCTGCAATCCGAGGACTACGCGTACGTTTACATTTTTTTCGCGTACAAATGACCACGGTGGCCACTCACGCCACAACTGAGTTGAACTGACCAGGGCTGACGGGGATGGTGGAGATGGAAATACAAGCAGCGATATATACGGTATTCGAGCATCGTTGCAGAAGGTGGGGTTGCTGGACCCAGTTTGTTCGCTGGCGTTCCGTTTGAGTGCTTGGAAGCACGGACTCGAATTCGAGCAAAATGGCCAGTTGCTCTCGTTGCTTGCACCGCTCGCAGCAGCTGCCGCAGGAATTTCCTCAATGTTTGCTCCTTTCACAAATCGGGCCAGGCTTGTTTGCATGCTAGAGAGCTGTTGACTTTTGATGAGGGCTTCTTGCCGCATACTGTACGGCAAGGAATCGCTGAGCGTCTATCGTTCCAGTTCACTTCAGTGGCCGGCTAAGGCTTGTGAGGTGTTTTGTTGTCGCGATGGCTTCAGTGCTGTTCGCCTGCTGCATACTACTTGTGGTGCGAGTCATTGGTATTCATAGAGTCCGAGGTTCTGCAAGCACTGTGATGTTGAGAACAAAGTCCTAAGTAGACCCTATTGCAGACATGTTCTGTAGTATGAGTAGCTACAGGCATCTCATTCGTTATGTTGCGTGCGATCCCTCCAGCGACTACTAATAGAAGCTCCACCCCACTGCAGTTCAAGAACTACTTTTCCTGGCTCATCTCCAACCGAGTCTACTTCTGCTAAGGGAATTGCCGTACTAGTTTTCGTAGATCCACTGCCACTGTGAGGCCTCGACTAGAGTCAACCGCGAACTTTCGCTCAGATGCTTCCTTCCTTTCATCCTGGTATATGCCCTTGCAAATCTGAAGTGTTGTCTGCTGGTGCCCAGGAAGAAGGTGTTTTTCCCACCCGCCAAGCACACCAAGTTCGAAGAATGGATGCTTAGATGCAGATCATGGCCCTTCGCAGGATGTATGCATTTGTCCTGTTCAATCACTGCAATTTCGGCTCCAGCTGAGGATTGCTTTGCAGGTACAGCTCTGTGCGGGAGACAGGCTCATCCGCTTGGTCCACCTGCCAGGTGCACAATGATGGCAGGGTTGTGGTCTATGACTTCAGACCCAGCCAGGTCATCTTCTTGTTTCCGTAGTGCCAGAGGGCCGTCGATGCCTGTGCAGATGGCCTTCGATGAGCTGCCACTGCAAGGCCCTGGAGGCTCTGAAATGCTCTGTACTGTAGCTGTAGCTGGCTTGCGTGTGATTGCTGAGTTTGCGACTCGGTAGGCTCAGTTGCGGGCGCAACAGTGGTGCATGAGCCATGTGTGCAAACAGACAGCTTCCCGGACAGGGCTCCCTTGTTCCGAAGATGCAAAGCAGCCGGGTTCCCGGTCCAAGAGTTGCAAAGTTTCAATCTTCGCGGCGTTACTTCTCCGTGCAGGCCTGCAGAAGCACCTGCGCGTCAGCGTGGGTCCTCGACGGCTTCACCGTCCTGTTGCTAAACTACTTGTGACTAATCACTGTTGCTGTTTGGCTTCAGTAGTCGTCTCTTCGAAGCATGCCTTCGTTAAGGCTAAGGCTTCCCTTCTGGCTCGTTTGTGGCATGGCCACACGATTGCTCGTCTCGTGTCAGACTCTGTGTTTTACAGACACGGACACCACCGCAGTGCTCTAACAGATGTGCCAGCATTGAATGCCCGACCTGATCCTTCGCACGCGCACTGAAAGCTTTGTCAGCCAGGGTCATGGGCTCAGACGTTCCAGACGCGCGTGATCGATTCATCAGACTCTTGGCTGGGCCGTAATGGGCCTGGCGCACTTCACCCGAACGCCAGTTGAACAATGCAGTTCAAAGGGTGCACAAAGACTGCACCAAGGCTTCTCATAGGTGAAGTCTTGTTCCGTCTAATCGGCGAATAGCCTGTTAGCTTCTTGGGATTGTGGTTAGGATGTTTCCAGTGGCTTGGTTTCTGTCACGGTGCTTTCGCACCCTGTGGATAGTCGGGCAGCGCGCAATGCAAAAGGAGGCAACTGGTCTTGGTAGACGCGTGCTGCACACTTTGTGCTTTGTGAGTGTGCCAAACTGCAGCTTCAAGCACTGCATGTACTCGAATTCTTCCGGTTAAGGACGTGCAGTGCCCCACGAACGTAAGTCCCGCGGCAACCGCACTACTTCGAAGAGTTCAGATAAAGTTCAAAAACTTAGTAATCCCTGCGGGCTCTTGGTTCTCCCCGCCTCCTGCAACATGCCAGCACCTCAGAAAGGGACTTCGGTGAGAGTGTTTGCGCTATTGTGGAAGTGCAAAGGTGTGACATCCAGGTTCACACCGTCACCAGGTGATCTGTCGTGGTGACTGGTGGGCAGCATCATGTATGGCGCATGTTAGAGATCAACCGCCTGTAAATCTGACTCTGCCGCAGCCATACGCCACTAGCATAGAATGGGTCTTATTATGGTTATGACTAAAGTTCAAGTTTGATTCCGCAGATTGACTCGACAGCTCGCAGCGAGTGCTCGCAGATCAGACAGTCTGAGCGCCCAGTTTTCGCCTGTCATGCTGCAGCTGGGAAGACCGTGCTTGGCCTGGCGGACTTGTGTTCTGAAGGCCTAAGCTTCGCAGAAGTTCATGTTGCACGACCTCGCCAGAATGCACCAGTAAGGTGCTCGATTCACAGCATGTTTTGTCTGTCCCTGCTAGGGGCCCGCCCATGTGTGTCTTCGTGCCGCAGCTCCATTGCAACGGGAGTTCCGCTTCGTCACCACCAGTGCCGCGGCAGGTGGGCCAAAGAACAGAGGTGTGCGCGAAAAGACTGCCCCTGACATGGCCCCCATGGCCGAGGAAAGGAAGCCAAGGAGAAGAGCATCTCTCATGACTTCACGGACTCCACCGTGGCCTTTGAGTCCAAGTCCCTGTGCACTTCAACTGAAACGATCGTCAAACAGGTTTTTGCGAGCTCTTGCGACTTGGTGTTTCGTCTTGGAGCCAAGGGGAGCTCGTTCGTGCTTATTGCGTGTTCCAGACATGCGCCATTGGTCCAATCGTGCGTCACTGCGACACACTCTACGACTACTCGCTCAAGATCCTGGGCGCCAGGCTCTTTGCACAGATGCATGACAGATGATGCTGCGATCCTGCTGCTACTGCTGCTATTGTGCCTAAGCTGTTTGCAGGCTGACTCATCTCCTCCTCAGGAAGACCTTCTTCGAGCATTTCTGTGCAGGAGAAACCAGCCAGGACGCATGTGTCAAGCTTGGCTTTAGCTTGCCGGAACTCAATCAGGTTGCGACGATTTCTATAGGGCAATTTACAACTCGCCTCAGTGTCACTTTCTCATTGCTGCTGCCTTTTTTGAACGCGTCACTGGCCACGGCATCGCATTCGCCGTGGCATGTCACCGTCGCGCAAAGCTAGTCAACTTGGCCCCCTCATGTGCTTCCTGCTCCATGCAATTCATTCGTCTGCACCTGCGATACGTGTTTTCAGCGTCGTATCTCCGTTATCGTCAGCCACGTTGTGAAATCTGCAGGAGATAGTGCCTCGAATGCACGAGCTTCGCAGATACAACGTTCTAGCCTTGGCCTGTTTCCGACGAGCCTTTGTGCATCTTTGTGGTCTCGAGAAGCTCTGAGGTCGGCGGCATCTTGGACTATGCTGCAGAAGCAAAAGACGGAGAACTGCCGGAAATCGTGAAGCCGACGGAAGAAGTCAGTGAGGAGGCCTCGTGGCTGCGCCACTGGAGTGGCAGGCCTACCTGTGTCTCTCGATATCCCCTTTTTAGGAGATTGTCGGAGCACCAATGAGCAGCCGCAGCTACGACTACAAGAATGAGGCACCGAGAAGTGCCGCTTGCAAAACGGTTGTTGGCCAATCTGCGGATGCATGCGAGGCACTTTGCGATGCGAATGCTCAGATCTTTCGGACAGCTGTTCGTGCAGTGCGAGACGCGACACCAGACGGCTTGGCTGCAAGTCTTCCAGACTGCTTAGCATTCCTCAGTACGTGTGCCAGAACATCTGAACTGTAGTGAGCCGAGGATGGCTTTGCTGCGATCAAGTTGTCTGGCCTGGGGAGTCCTGCTTGAGTTGTGCTTGTGCTTGGCAGCGCAATGCGATGTGTATTCGGTTCAGTCTCAATGTCGAGTTCGAGCCGAGGAACCCGCAGCTGCTTGAGCGGATGTCTACCTGCCTCGGGGAGATCTGTCGATTGTGCCCTTGCCTGGCAAGGTTGCAGAGCCATTCGTTTTGTGGCGGCGGAGGATTTCCTACCAGTGGTGCGCAGTGTTCCAGGTACAAACGGCTCTCGCACGACGACGAGGTTTCCGAGCCGTTCTATGCTACCTGCCTTCAATTTCAAGCCTCAGAGATTATTCCAATTCAAGAATTCCGAGATATGTGGCGAAGTCTAAGGCCATAGACCGGTCTTTCAAAATGGATTTCGAAACCTTTAAGACGGGCTGGCTCAAGATGTTTGAGGGCAAGACTGAGGCGCCACGTCCGCAAGACGTCTTCAGCCGTTGGAGCTAGGAATCGTGACAGCCCCATCAGTATAGGCCGAGCTCAAGTCCATGTTCGAGACGATGGACGCGGATGGAGATGGGCCATGTGCTGAGATGGGCTGCGTTTAGAAGCTGCTGTTGGGGTCTCAGTTCCAACCCAACATTTCGGGGACTTAATGTTGAGGCAGATCAGCTATCTGGAGTGGTCATCGAGTGTCAAACTGTCCGAAATCAACGAGCTTGTGCGAGGGTGCAAGCACCGAGGAGCTCTCATTTAACATACCCTTGCCAGATCTTGCTTGCAGCTTGTGCGGTGCACTTCTGCCAGCTTCGAAGGACGACTGCACCGCGCCGCACTCAACGAAGAGGAGCTCCAGTTGTACAGACACATGATTGCAACATGTACACGCCCATTTCGTTGGGCAAATCCGCACAGGTAGGAGGCTTGAGAAGCTAAGGAAACATGCTGGAGCGGGTTCGAGGAATCCTGGAACTGGCCGAGGTGGGCTGGTCACGGTTAGTCCTTTAGTGCTTGTGGAGGTGCGAGTCGAGTTTCAGCTTCGCAGGAACTCGGAGTGCGCGTAATGCCGCTTGGCTCGAGCCGCCGTGGTCCTGAGACATCCTGAGGCGGCTGTGTAGCCGCAGAGCCTAGGATCGATGCGGAATGGACTGACATCCAGCCTGCAATCGATCACATCACCATCTTCATGCAACGGAGACTCGGACTTCCTGAGTTCAGATGATTTCAGACGAAGTTCTCAAGTCGCTGCGGCTGAGGATATACAATGCGGGGGAGCTGCCGATTGCCTGCCACTCGGACGTGTTAGCAGTAGCTCACATGGCTGTTGAGATCGTCCAGGTTTACAATACGTACCAGACATACCTCAAGGCACTGCCTGTGCATGAACTTGGCAGTTTACCACCAATGCTGGCCTGCCAGTCCGATCTTCAAGCTTCCGTATGTTGAGCTCCGGCAGGGTATGCCCACGAGAGTCCAGCGAGACCTACAAAGATCCAGGTGCCTTGTCATTGCTTTTGTTGCGGCTTGGCGACCCTTCCTCCCCGCATGTTGCACGAGTTTACATTGTTTACATGCATTGCTCAGCGATGTGCAGTCCCGGTCTCACTGCGACTGCCACAAGAGTGTCAGCACAGCAAAAGAAAGACCACTTCCATAGACACAGATGTGAAACAAAACGATTTGATGCACCCCCGCAACAGAAATACAGCAACAAACTTTGCGGAGCCTAATCCCCCGGACAAGGGCCGCAGGAGCACAGAATTCTGAGTCCGAGCCTTGTTCACCGCCGTGGGAAGGCAACCAGTATCTCAGTAACGCATCCGAAACTCATCCTGAGTCTTTATAACACACGGTGGCAGTGTCCGACGCCTGGAAACGACTCGCCAACGACGCTATCGCGGAGACTGCTCCGATTGCGTCAGGCGAGAAGGCTGGCGCTTCGGAGCCAAGCTTGTGCGTGGTGCGTCTCTCTGCCCAGTTTATTTTGTTTCAAGCGTGTCTGGAGTTGAAAAATTTTCCCTTGAACTTTGAACTTCAGTCACGCAGAGTCTGTAAGGTACATGGTTTCAGAACGTGAGAAGGCGCTCAAGCGAGAATTAGAGTCGCCCATATGCGATCCTGGTCTGCAAACATCTGCCGGCTTCCAAAAGGTTTCCCAAGCAGTCTGCACTGAGGAGAGCTACGAGGAGACAGAGGAGAATTTTCACACGTCCATCGACTTGATATTGGACCATGGGGAGGATGGCAAGGCACAGTCACCGCATGCCATTGCCCAGCAGTCGCACTGCAGTCTGCCATGGACTGCTGCAGGGCCCAGGTGGTGCGCCAGCAGAGGCAGCTCTTTTCGAAGCTCTTCGCGGGGGCCCTGATGGCGTGTGCAGGTGCTGGTGGCATCTCACAATCGCGGTTCCATCGAGCGGACAATCCGCAAGATGGCAGAGCTCGGCGTGAGCCAGGACATCAGCACGTCCTGTGTTCATTGCCGGAATGGGGCGGGGCAGACATTATTCGAGGGACTCGCGATTCGCACCTTCGTCACTTGCCCTGAAAGTCTTGACCGCCTGTGAATCCGGCTCAAGCTCGGAGTGGGACTTGCGATGCGCCCCGTTAGAACATGGAGCTTCTGGAATCTCCGCAAAGCGTTGTGGATTCTCCACCGGAGGCTGAAGTAGATGAAACACATGACTTGTGTGTTCACGCGTGCACGTGTGCGTGCGTGCGTGCGTGGGAGGGTGGGTGGGTGGGGGTGGGTGGTTGCGTGGGTGGGTGGGTGGTTGGGTGGGTTTGTGGGTGGTTGGGTGTGGGTGGTTGGGTGTGGGTGGTTGGGTGTGGGTGGTTGGGTGTGGGTGGTTGGGTGTGTGTGTTTGTGTTTGGGCTTGGGCGATCGTGTGACTTGCATTTACCTCGGAAGCTGCTTGTCTCCGTTCCCGATCTAGTCTTGTCAGCCCTGCTGATACGCTTTGAGCCGGATATAGGGCGTTGCAGTTCCTTACTGAATGAGGATATGTACACACGTATACACGAGCATGCATTTGAATAATGGATACATTGCAAGACATTGCAAGACAAATGGCAAACGATGTGGTGTTTACAGAATGATGCACGAACCGATACCCACGAGGTTAATGCAATACAGGTGGAACATTTGCGAGGTACAAGACGGTACAGTTCAGTGTTGCATGATTCTATGATTATATTGTGACAGAATACAACATGTTGTTGTATGCACGACGTACTTCGAGGCAGAGTTGTATGCTGGTATTCCGGTATATAATGTTGTAGTATGTTGTTGGGATCTCGGTACTGGCATGCTCGTCGACTCTGCTGGCCAGCCTCGTCAGATCAAGTTGTTCGGCATCTCTTCAGCGAACGGGCGCTGGCCTGCCCCATGCCCAGTTCAGATACGAAGCGGCGAGGTAGTATTCCCACTGAGACTTGCAGGTGCTAGTGAGTGGGATGCTCTGAGGAAATATTTGGTGCGTCATGGCTCCTTCCTGACTGGGCTCTCCTCGCAGTACGCTCTTGTGCTTCTTGGCGAAGGTTGTCGGGTCGCAGGCCTTGTCTGGTAGGCATATCTCGCGCAGTGTGAGGTTGCGTGCCTCTTTGTGGGGACCCTGGTGCTGGATGGGGTGACGACGCGTGATGGCCAAGCACTCAACTTCTCCAAGAGTCTTAACACTCTTTCGTGTGCCACCTCGTTGAATGTATTGCCTGGGCCTAGGCTGGCGCTTCCTCATTTACCTGACACGCTGGAGCTTCCTTCTCGAGACTCTCTACATTTTGCTGGCTGTATACGTCACCGTGCAAGCGCGCACAGCCTCCAAGAGGCAATCGACTGGCGATGACGGCAGTTCTTTCCGTGAGCTCTACAAGCTTCCGAAATCCGTGTCTTGCACCGCTGTAGTGAAGTTGTGAGCCTTGGCATCTTCTGTACGGGGCAACTCAGGTGCAGGCAATGGCGCTGCTTTGGAACTTGACCTTTCCGATTTGCATCATGGTGTGCATTGCGTTTTGGACACTCATCAACCCGATTTGGGACATGAAGATGCGCCTTGGGTATGCTGCTCGATTGCACTGCTTCTGGCACGGTTTGGTTCGACGTTGATGCACGAGGGTTTAGCATGACCATGATTACATGTCCGTTGGATGGCCCCAGCTCTTAATTTTCGTGCTATTGCCATCGCCCCATTTGCAACATGCAGACGTGACGTTGCGTTACCGGCAGCACGATACAGACCCAAAAGGGACAAGCACCTTTGGCCCAAAGTTCCTGTGACTGCCGGCAACCTGGCAGGCCCCAGCTAGCCTCGAATTATCTTGGTGTGCCGGCTCCTTCCGTTCCAAGCGTCAAACTTGAAAGGTGATGGTCTTCGAGCATTTCTTGAACATGCTGTTGTTTTTCGTGGAGTTTGTCCTAAACAAGAACATCTTCATGCTGAAGCATGGGGTCATCCTTTATGCATACGCACTTCTGTACCGTGGCTGCACGGTGAAGCTGCTTCGACATTTTGATACGATTTGCGGCTGTTCCTCGTTTGCTGCTGCTGTAAAGGTACACAGTGTGGACGTTGATCCACTATGCGACCAAGATTGGAGTTGCTCCAGCTATGGCATGCGGGACAGACTTCTTGCGGTGCCAACACTGGCTGTTGGTTTGGGGCAAAACGGAGCGAGGCAGGGCCATCCATTCAACTGAAGGACCTACCCTTTGGACGAGTGCCCCATTTACGCGGTACTTGACTGGCACCACCCTTGGAGGACGAAAACCACAAGTTAGCTGTGTGCAGGCTGTGTGGTAGTGTTCCACGTTTTGCTCATAAGTGAAATTTCTTATCAGGACTCTCATCGTCATTTTATTTGCGGCCACCTCAGCTGTCAAGCCTCTTGAAAATCCATGCTGATGATCATCTTCCGCGATCTGGATATCTCAGGTGACGCTGGCAAGTCTTCTCATCCAGCTGGCAGTGTGGAAGTGCACTCGAGTGCGTGACCGTCGATTTGCGAAGGAACACGCAAGACCCACCGTAGGACCAGTGAATGTGGTCTAAGACTTGCCCGCACTGGAAAAAGGTGCGCTTTCCTCCGGTGCTGGTTCGGTTTGATCTGAATATGGGTAGTTCTCGAAATTAGTGTCCCTCTTTAGGTCACCAAAACAGTATGGCACCCTTATAAAAAGGCCAATTTAGAGAAGTGAAAATGGAGTGAGAGAGTGAGATGTTCGGCGAGGATCGCGTTGGCTTTGGGCAACTTCTGGGAATGGCCGACCATCTCACATTTACGACTCTCGCCCCAACAGAACGACAGCATTTGTCAAAGAGCGAAGAAGACCTTTCGGGCGCGTCTGCACAAAACAGCTGAGGCTGGGGCGCTATGGCTACAGGTCGCCTGACATCTCCATCTCCGTATGCTCTCACGGAAGTGCATCTTGTGTGTGGCAGACCAATGTGTCTTGGGCAGCGCAGGGCCTACAAGTATGTCCCTTATGGACCCGTTGATGAAGTCGTGCCATACCTCATCCGTCGCACGCAGGACTGCCGACACGGAACATTTGCACGCGCAAGCGCACACGCACACACCCTGGCATCCCTGGGCTCCGGGCTCGGATTTTGTTTGCGTTTGGTGTCCAGGAGAATTCCGCAATTCTGGGATCCCCCAGCGTTCAAGAGGAAAGGTGCCTTGGCTGCTTCGAGCTGTGCCGAGCTGGAGCTGCTGTAGTCGTCGTCGCAGTCGTTTGTTGTGTCAGGCACATGGTGGGACGAGAGGTGGCGCGACGGCTGCGTCCCTTTTAAGCCCGGCACTCGACCTCCCTTGACTGACCTTCCTGTCACATCTCGGCAACATCTTCAAGGTCAAGGGGGCCACGTGTACATAGAAGGACAGTAGCATGGTGAGGCTGCACGATCGCAGCAAAGACCTGCGTGTCTGAAGCCAGAGTTCAGCACTCGTGCCCAGCATTTAGCAGACAACCTATGCCTCAGCATGCTGAAGCGAACTTTCCCTATCCGACGCTGGATCCAGGCCCTGGGACACAGTACAGCAATAGGTGACTGCCGTCTCATCAATAAACAGATAATAAATGAAATGATTTTCAAATCGCCGCATGCTGCTGCCACTCCACAATGATGACACGGTAATGCTGAGTTGGAGGCGAGCGAAGCAGCTTGTGGTTGGGCTACATGACTGATGTAAAGTCCACTGCATTTGAGAATGCACCTGCGACCGGTGCAGTATCCACGGATTTCCAGTTAGACCACAGCCTTTCACGGATCGAATGGCAAAACTTAGAGGCTTAGCGCTACGTGGATCTTCACTGGGCATGCAAAATACTTGCGGCAGGTGTTGCACCGAAGAGCAATGGACATATTTCGTTTGAACTCTTCGTTTTTGCAAATTCAAGCTTGTCTTTGGCACGTGGCCAAAGTGGTCCAGAAAAGGACGACATGCCCACAGGTGGTGTAACTTTGAATGTGATACCAAGACGAATGTGGCAGGCGTCTTGCTCGGAACTTCGAGGGCTTGTTCCCTGACCACGACTTGCAAAAGGACTTTCTCTTTCTGCCAGATGTGTCCGTGCCTGCAGTTTCTAACTTCCTTGGCAGCTTGCAGAAGCAAGAGCAGCAGATTCTTGCGTTGTCTCAATCGGGCAAATTGCCAGGAGCCGCACGTGGTCGTCACCCTCGCAGCACCCTCGGTCTTGGGAAGAACACTGATGATCATACATACTGGTCCAGCATTGTCCCAGCATGTCCCAGCCTTGTGACAGCTTGAAGACTGCACGCATCGGCAGAGGAAGCTCAAGGCTCAACAGCCCACCCGTGGCTGACTGAGCTCCAGAGGGTCCCCAGCGAGTGGTCTCGGAATTGAGTTATGTTGAATAGCAGCGCTACCTACGCCGTTTTATCAGGCAGGCCGGGGCTTTACCAAGCCTGCCACGGTGTGTGTAATAGTGAGAAGCGGTTGCGTTTCTGACTTCTGGGAGCAGCCATGCTTTGGCATCACAGCTGCAGCCTTACAGTAGCATGCCGTAGACCCGCCTAGACTCCTAGGACTCTTTGTGCCCAGGTCTCGGGCCGGCAATTTGTCAGGCATGGAGCGAGTGGCCGTGGTCCTAGCGCTCGAGCTTGAGCGGGTCTTGCGAGGAGACACCATTGCCAGATGATTCGGGAGTGGACACGGCACCTTCCTCAGCCAGGGAGTGCAAGCTGCTAGAGTCGCTAGAGTTTACAAGAAAAGTGACATGCCCACGGGTCGTTGAAGGCCGCCAGAGCATTCCAAAGTTTGCGCATCGACCGGAGCTTCACTGAGACTCAGGCTTCTCGATACTTTCCAGCCCCAGGCAGCTGGGCATGGATGCATTTTGCTGCAGTCTGCGAATTGCATGAACGTTTCGACACCACACGCACAGGCAACCGTCAGCTCTGGATTGGTACGATACCAACTGAGCTTCCTAACTCTGAGGATCTGGGACCAGCATGCAGTTACAGTTCTTTCAGTGTAAAAAATGAGCGATGTTAGGCAGTTTTTCGACTCTTCATACAGCCCGCTGGTGAAGGAGCCGCGGACACGCAATGTATATGGAGTCATTGGCGGTGCTGGACTCTGTGACTTTCTCGGATTCTCGAGAACTTCTCGCTTGCCCTTTTGGAGGTGCTCGAGAGTTTGTGGAGGATACGACTCCAAGAGCAGAGGCGGGAGCAGAGGTCGGCTGTTTTGGCAGTTTTCAAGCCCTTGGCCTCTCGAAGAGGTGGGTGCAAAAGCCAAAGAAGCTCTGTGCCAGGCAGGAGTCGTATGAATCCCGTTGCATCCAATTGCTTCTGCTACCTTTGGCTGTTGAGAGGCCTCATACACCGCAAATTTGGAGTCTTCAGACTGCAACTTCTTAGCACCAGGCCCGAATCGGTTGAAACATTGCAGCAGGGAGATTTCGAAGTCATTTTGCCCGCTCTCCTGGTGTCTGCAGCTGGGAATTATGCTGCTGTGCGTGCCCAGAAATGCCAGCAGCTTCGTCTGCCTCGGCTTTGTTGGCTAGGTGATCAGGATACCACTGCTGCATTGTCTTTCGGGCAAGCGTATGGGCAAGCCTCGCTGGAGAAAGAGGCATTGCTTCGTGCATTTCGCGAAATCTTGATTCGACCCGAATCCTGGACAGGATCTGTTCAGTCATCTCACCCAAGGCACGTTGAAAGCCCTCAGTTTTGAGATCACCGCTAAACTGGGTGCATTTCAGGTTGCAGCGAAGACTTTCTGCTGGGCTGCCAGGTCACAAAGGCTGCGACAGTGACATGTGCAAAATGTTGCTGTGTCCTGTCGTGCCAGGTTGATTCCGAAGAGACAGGAGGGGACGCATGGCACACGCTGCAGCTGTTGCACACACGCATGTGCCGCAGAGAAGAAGCTCCGCGGAAGTATTCGGACCTGTCAGGCCACATCCCCCAACAGCGCAGCTGGGGCAGCTAGATCTTGGGAACTTGGGAGATTTACACTGCTTGACTCCATACGAGACTTCTATCAACAGGCATGCATAAAATCAAAGCTTGAGAGAAGGCCGCACCGAAACCGAAAGAATCACCAGCCTGTCACCAGCCTAAGATCTCAGATGTTGAATCAGCGAGTTGGGTCAACCTGGATGAGTTTTTGCCAAATTGGACAGGTCATTAACGGGCCATTTCGAGAGCCAAACGTGATCTGGCCCAAGACCTTGGGATGACTTCGCTTGCAGGAACGTCTTCTTTGGCAAGTCTCCAGCCAGATGAGAGCCGAAACAGCCAGGTGGCCTTGATGCAGGACTGCCGTTGAAACTGTGCAAAGATGTGCAAAGGTGGCCAGGGAGAGCGAGTGATAGATTGCTCCCTGCACGGCTGGTAGCTTCTTGTAAGTTGGTACTGAAGGAGCCTGCTGACGATCGCGTTTTTCCGGAAGTGCTCCTCGCCACGCCCGAGATGTTTTGCCCTAGCCAAGAAGTGGGACACAGGTACACGGTGGCAAAGCCCCCTGGCTGAGCGACGATGAGGGCATCGGGCTTTGTCGTTTCAACAGTTGATTTGAGAGTGAAGGAGCTGACACCCGTCGAGTCGAGGTGCAACGTGGCTTCCGGGCATGGCTGGCACGGCTCTGTCAGAACTGCAGGGCACCCGGGCACCCGAGCTCTGCTCACAGTTCTTGCGCCCTCGTCGGACCGTGCGCATGTCAGGCCAAGTCAAGGTTCGGTACTCCACAAGCTTCAGCGATGTAAGCCCTGTGCCTGGCGAATGCCTCGGCTTCTGCTTCTCCTGTCAACGCTCTCTTTCTCAACTCGTGCTTCGGACCCAGGTACTGGAAGGAAGCAGGCTGCAAGAACGGTTGGGATTGTGGACATTGCCATCTTTGCCCTCAGGGCGAAATTAAGGCTTGCGGTTTGCACCAGCATGCCTTTCCTGAATCCTTTCGCAGCTAGCATGGGGCTCTGGCAGGCCCGAAAGAAAGCCAAGCAGGTCGTGATGCGTCCCTGCCCTAAGGGCGGGTGCCAGCCGTTGCCCAGCGGGCTGATCTGAGCGAGGCCTTGCGGTCCCCGACCGGAGGACGAGCCAAGTTGAGTCCTCGGATTTTTGTGACTTGGGAATCTTGGGTGTCTGCTCGGATCGCCGGAGAATGCAGTCAGAAGTCCGAGCTGCAGTTGACACTCGGAACGCTTGAAACAAGATGACAACCCAGAGACGAAGCGTGACCCAAGCCCTGCACGTGCCCCCGCGGGTCCACGAGGCTTGGGAGTCTCGGCACTGAGAAGTGCAGGCCCTCAGTCTTGAGCTGGAGAAAAGGAATGGGCAACTTAGTTGGGACGGACGATCTCCCACTTTCCTGATGACCCGCACAAGTGCTCATAAGAGGGTGGTGCATCGCCGTCATTCCAAGACCACAGCAGAGTCGAAGAGAGAGACCTTCAACTTGCCAGGCCTGACTTGCAGCTCGGCTGACCGAAGCAGCATTCCGGACCTCGCAGAACAGTGCACAGGTATGCCCGCACAGTTTTTGACTGTGTCTTGTTTGAGTTGAACTCTGGTGGCTGGCATGCAGAAGCCGGCAGTCCTTGCGAAGCTTAGCAGCCGCAGGGAGGGCATGTATGCTTAATCATATTGGATAAAGTAGGAGCGGATTGCATCGCAAGGCCTTGCTTGCTGTCATCCTTGCTGCGAATATCCTTCTTGCACCAAGTTGCCATTGGGAACCTGCGTGTTGCTACAAGCTCCAGGAAGCAAGGTCGTGAATAGCAGAAATGTTCCAGCACGGAGGAAAGTGGGAGGGCTTCGAAATGAGCATGTTCTGACTCTACCCCATGCAGCAGGCCTTATGGACCACATGTGACAGTGTAAGCTTTGGCAGCCACTAATCGGCTGATGCATTGCCTGCCCAGTCTTGGCAGTCAGGGCCAGTGCGTGCTCCAAGCATGGCACTTCCATGTTCCACAGCTGAAGGGTTGATGACAGTGATGGTCTCAACTTGTGGTGTCATGCATAACATTGCATGCTTTTTTTTGTGTCGTGGCATGTGAAGCCTGAGCATGCCATGACCAGCATCATACGAACCTCTGGACCATTTTGCTAATAGGCGGTGCTACAGTAGCTATTGCACTTTCTTGCATACGGTCTTCGCGTCCTCTTCCTTCTCGACCTGTGTCCTTTTCTCTTTGCTCGTTGCGCCAATTCGTCGAAGTTTCAACTGCTACAATGGAAGGCATCCCATGTGTGCCAGCTCAAGCATAGCCTGCGGTTCACCCATGGAACCAGTGCCTATGCTGGCTGCGGCATGTTGCGGACCAAAGTGGGTCCGCAGCACTCGGAATTCAGCTTGGTCCGTTGGTTATTAGGCTTTTTCGAGACTGGTCTCTGGACTGTGACCACATGTCTGAGACAGCATCGTAAAGGCCTAGCACGGTGAACGGCAGCCCCGACTTCAGCAAACGATGCAAGGGAGGTTTTGCCGTGCACCGGAGAAATGTGTCATCAGCTAGACGGTGGAAGGTTCCGAGCAGAGTGATCTGTGACTTGTACAGGTCCTGTCGCGAGACATTAACTGTCCGTGTGCACCGTGGCGGTCTGGAGACAAGGAGGATCGTGTCTGCGCCTGCTAGATCTGGAGGACGGGAAACATCCCTCAACCGGCTTGCAGTGAATTCATTTCAGTTGTCTCCGATATCCGCAGCGGTTTTGCCTTAGAAGGGACGTCCCACCTGCGAGCCTTTGCTTCTGCCTGCCGCAAGGCAGAAATCTGATCGTGCAGTCACTGCAGCCTTTGCTGCAAGCCTCTGGTCAGGTAGCTGTTCAACATGCCACCTGTCTCCTTGTCGCTGGCAGAAGCTCCGGCCCGAGAGATGCTACTCGCCGCACGGCACCCATTTCTTCAGAACTCGAGGCGCTTGGCATGCCTCAGCCCAGCGAGGCCGTTTCCTCTGGCGACTCTGCATCTCTTATACATCTTATAAGGCCCTTCTGATTGACAAAGGCTGCGGGCTACGCACGATCTCCCTCACCGCAGAAGCTGAGCTTGATGCTGGCGCAGGCCTTGGCTCTGCAAGGCGAGACGTTTGAGGGCAGTGAATAGCACAAGGACTCTGCTCTTCGGTCTCCCAGAACGTCAATGGAGCCCCAGAAGGCGGCCAAGCCACGTGGTGCCAGCAGCATCTGCCAGCTCTGCGCAATGTGGCAGGTGCAGCTGCCATCCATGTGCTAGAGACTTTGACTTTGTGCGTTTGAGCAGCAGTGGTCTGCTGTCTGGACCCGGATGTTGCTGAGGCCTGGACGCAGCGCAGTCGGAAAGTTTGGAGGCAGGGAGCCTGCACTAGAGATTGCCGACGCTGGAGCTACAATTGCTTGAGCTGTTGCCCGCGCTACCAGGATGTCCCCAGCATGCCTGATCCCATGAGCCCATCATATGGACCGCTGTCCCCACAATGCACGTCCAGCTCCAAGCATGTCCACGGTTCTCAAGCCGAGCAGCTTTGGGACTGAGCCGCTCAGCCTACCAGGCCTGCAACAATTTCTCTGACCTCGTTGGTGGTGGCCTGAGACCGAACCTCTTTCGTGTGCGGAGGGTGGAAATCGCTTCCCAGGACACTACGGTTGCTTTGGGATCCCCGCAGTCGTTGGGATCCCCTCAGTCGTTGACAACGAAGGCTGTCAGCTTGATGTTTGCCAATCTGCCAATGCCGGATATTTAGTAGAGATCTTGGAAGCTTCCTGTCTTGACAAGTGCAGTGACCTACTTGTGCCCTTTGTGTTATAAGCAGTCTGTTGCAGGTCGAACCAGAGAATCCGCCAGTTGTACCCGAACCAGCTGATGACGAAGAAGGCGCGGCTTTGCATGGCTGTCAGCAGATGTAGGATTGCTTCAGCCGGCAGCCGGCTTCCGCTTGTGTCGCAAAGCCAGCGAAACCGCGGTACTCTGCCCGCAGATATGACCACACCTTTGCTTTTGCTTCCGAAGATGCTTCGCTCGGATCCAAGGCTTTTGCAGGAGTTCGATGCTAGCAGTTTTGTGATCAGGATCCACCTGTGCTTGTTGAGGTTTTGAGGCCCTGGCAGAGGAGGATGATGCAGCTGCCCAAGACCGATCGCATCTTTCCACAGGCAATGACGAAGAGTTTCACCGCACCATCCGGAGACACGCCCAAGGATCCAGACTACATGATGCAGACAAGCCTGGCTGACAGTTGAGGGATACACAGACTGAGTGGCTTTTGGGGCTTCGCGAGCTGCAGGTCCCAAGGAGAACGATGAGGACGTGCCGTTTGGACAGAGCCGTCTCCAGGTTGCAGCTTCTGACTTTATGCAAAATCCGATGGTTCTAATGCGTTCTGACGATGCCCTGGAGTCGTGTCTTAGGTGACGGACAGTGCCCAGATCTTACTAAGTTGCTACAAGCCCAGTTCGAGGAGCCTAGCTGCTTCGCTGTGCAGCAACCGAGGTGTATTGTTCCCACCGGGATTGCAACCCCCGCCGAACACGTCGAGAGCTTTAGCTTCAGCGCCTTCCAGTGTGACAGGATCCGGCCAAGCACCAAGGCCGAGCCATGGCTCTGTGCTGCATGAGCAAGGCACTTGTCGTCCATGTGCGTGGCCGGCTGCTCAAGTTTTTGCTTCGTTTGCTCCGTGTTTCCTGAACTGGGAACAGAGAATTCTCATTGAAACTTGAGCGGTGAGCAGTGCTGCGTTTGCAACGCAGATAGGCGCTCACAAAATGGCACATCCATTGAAGCAGCCCGCCCCATGAGTAAGGTTCCACAAGCCGGGCGGATGCAAGAACGGTGCCCGGCCCAGCTTGTGTCTTGAAATCTATAGCTACTTGCTTCAATCACCTTTGATTCGTGCTCCTTCAGGAAAGGAGTGTGGACATTGTCACCTTTGCCCGGAGGGCGAAATCAAGGCCTGAGTGCAAACATGCAGAGAATCGCAGCTCCACCACGACTGCGACAAGAAAATGGAAGTGGCAGAAACATGACACGGGCGGATAAGGGACGTGAGAGCCATTCTGCGGCAGAAACCAGAAAAAGGTGGAGGTGTTCGAAGCGTCTCATAAGCACTACTGAGTCGGCGAGGATGTAGAAGATGGGACGGGGTTGACGTCAGTTCCTAGGAAAGTTCCACACCTGGCAGATGAGAGCGGGGCTTTGTAGTGGATCAGAGGTTGACCCGATGTGAGGCAAGAAAGCGTGCGAAGCAGACAGTGATGCGCCTGGGCCTGGCAACGACCCAATCTCAGCTTCGAGGAAGATCGACGTAAATTGATCGTTTGGGACATTTTGCCCGACTGCGCAGTCTTCACGAGGCCAAAGGTTTCCGCTGGGTGCGAGGAAGAGGAGGAGTCTTCTGTCATGGTTCGGGCCTTGGTGCGTATGTTTCTGGAAGCAAAGGTCTGCAAACCTCAGCTGATCTCAGCTGTCTTCGAGGCGTTCGGGATCATTTCGCCAAAGGCGCAAGTGACCAGACGATCGATCAAGGCGTGTGCATGTCACGCCAATCCTGTACACACCCATCATGCAAAAGTCTGTTGAAGGCTTCTGTTTAGAATCGAGAAGCAGGTGTGTCAGCGCAGTAACTAGCTCTGGAATACCATGACGACACTATGCTGAGGAAATCCTCCTGTAGGCACTGCTGTCAGGCTCCGTCTTTGGAACCCAGCCACAAGAAAGGACTCGGAAGTGGACAAGCTTGGGCATGGCAGCTTCGCAGTGGCACCGCGCAGGAAGCCTCTCTGAAGAGGAATCTCTGACCACATGTGTCGGCTCAGAGTCACGGACCAAGCTGCCAAGCGGTGGGACCTCTCTTACCAAGCGGCGCGGTGCAGTAGAGTCATGAAGGCAAGAGATGTCTGACGGCAGCAACACCAGTCTGCAGCTTACGTGTTTTGCATTCGCGCAGCTCTGTGCCCAGCTGCGACGCGGATAGGTCCGGAGTCTGCCTGGGCTACTCCAACGGCGGACTTCCCACAAGGATCTGGCCACGTCTCACTAGAGCGAGACTTCGAAGTCGGAACGGCTCTACAGCCGCCACACCCTTCCGTAGGTTTACGTTCGTACTGCGTACCCGTGTCCCCGGCACGTAGCAGGATTGACCTCCGTGCAAGACTACCCCAGCGAGGTGCCTTCATTCCAGCAAAACCAGTCGTATGCAAGACCAGAGAAGTCGTCTCGATGTGGCTTCGGTGGCAGGGCTCAGCCTTGCATGGCACTGGAAACTGCCGCCCCTGTGCATGGCGCGACCCCTCAGTCACAGGTAGCTACAGCCACAATCTGCTGATATCTGCTGGATTGTCTTTGGCCGTTGATGGTGTGGTGTTGTTGTGGAATGACATCTGCGCTTCAGGTTCTGGAAGGGGTCTGGCTGCCAAAACGGCCAAGCCCTTACTGTGCCTGTTGTTTGACTTGCACAGGCATGCTTGAAGACGGGTCTTCAGGCAAAGAATGCAAGCACTGCCACCTGTGTGATGCCGGAGAGATTCAGAGGAGGAGGAAGATGAAGCAAGCAATGATGCGTCAGAGCCTTCACCGATGTTTGGTCTGACCGTTGGAGTGTTGTCAGACTGGAGTTGAACCCAAGCGGATCCAAGGCATGAGTCCCAAGAGCCAGAAAGAGGAGGCTTCGGAAGTCTTGGCCCAGTCGCTTGTAGCTTCGGGAGCTTTTGCTCCCCTGTCCAGGCACAGAACTCCCGGCAGGAGACTTGGAGACCGGATCGGAGATTGTCTCCGGATCTCGTTTCGCAAAGACATGTTGCGGTGCACGCGTCACTGCTGCCCAGGTTTGCTCTGAATCTTTCATCTTTGATTTAGTCTGAGACCGATCTTTTCTTGAGACTTGCTCTTGCCCACATGAAGCATGGTTCACGGTTTTTGGCGTTGTTCGAACGGTACGAGATGAGCCATCAAGGAACTTCAGAAAGACCTACACGAAAGCTGCCTCACTCGTCAGCACCAGATGCGCGCTCAGTCTCAAGGACCCGCGGACAGTGGGACTGCTAGACAACCGGGGTAGCAGACAAGGTGAGTGCAGTGTGTTCCTGCTTCTTGTGGCAATTCGTTTGAAGAATGAGTTTTGGAGCAAGGCATTCCACAAGGTTTGCAGAACAGAGAATTAGGATACCGTGCTACTCAAGGGCATGCCGAGAGCCGCGGATGCTGTCGTAGGTACATCTACACAAGGGAAGTCTCGGCACCTGCCCGGCTACATGCTCCGGAGAGCATTTTCCGCTGCCCGAGTAGTTGTCTGTACTTGCATGCAACTTGGGGATGCAGCCGCAGTGTTGATCCCTGATATCTTGGGCCTCAAGCTTGCCCACCTGCGATGCAAAGCCTTTTCAATTGACACGGGAATCGTACCTTGGCCTTCGTTATGCTAGTTGTTCCGGCTTTCGCAGGGACTTGTGCATTGTAGGTAGTAGTGCACTGCAGACTCTGCCTGAAAAGTGCACAGGCACTTTCCTGCCCCATAGGGGCGGTAGAGGACACTTGAATCATCTAGTGACACAGAATGCTATCGATGCGGCCCGGAGCCTGAATGGACGGCTGCACGGGAATTGTGAGGTGCATGTCTCGGTCTCTGAATTGAGCTGCTAGTTTTTGCCCCGCAGTTTGTCACTCAGAGTTGGGTCACCAGGACATGAATTCAGAGACTCTGGCAGCTTTGCATGTCTGTGAGACAGTCGATGGAATAGGGAGCAAGAGATGCCAAGCTAGCTGTGCAGCATCGGCGTGTGGCTGCTAGGCACACTGCTGATTCTGTGCACATTGACGGTTGGCTTTTGATGTGAACCCTGATTCGCTGCTTGTGAATTCTCGACAGATGAGACATGCCACAACTGCAATAACCATCTCATTTTATGCAGCCGGATGTGCAAAATAGAGGAGCGCCTGCATCTTGCTCAGAACGCAAAGGTTTGGGTGTGAAGGTTGTCCAAAACTGGAAGGGTGCATGTACTAAAGTGGCAGCGCTTGTTCGTCATTGCCTTCTTTTCACCTGAGGCGCTGCAGACCAAGCATCGCCAGTCTGCGATGCTGCTTGGCTCGACCATGTTGAGGGACGCAGATGGCGTAACTTCTGCGAAAGCACCGCTGCGAGGTCCAATGAGATGCTTTCCGAAAGGCCGGGCAGAGAACCCGAAACGGCGCAGCCAACCCAGCAGAAGAGCCGAAATTGGGGACCTTCAGCTGTCCTCCACTCTGCTGCGTGTCGCCTTCAGAGATGGCGAAAACTCCTGAAAGCAAGTCTTTGACGAGGCTCGTTAGTGTACAGGTAGCCTTTCACACTTTGCCACAGGAGCCTCTTAAAGCAGTTTCACTTTACCATACTTTACCCGTCCTGACCCTATGCACATGTCATTAACGGTAGACTTAACTTGTCCGAGGGCCATGCCGTGTGTTTGGGGGGACTTGCTCTGGTTTGTCCCTGCTGCAAGGCAGGCATGCTATGGTCGACTGGTTGCGCGAATGCAGGTGGCAGGGCCCTTGCTACATAACGCTTCGTGGGGAGTGCCTGGTAGTTCGATTCCCACGCTTTCCAGCACCCTGTCTTGGTTCTGGTGCCTGCATCCGGCTCGGTTGCATGTCAGGATGCCTTGCTCGACATGCCAGGCTTTCAAAGCGTACTTCGACTCTCGGCAGCGTCGGGCTCGGTGCTGTTGCGGATAGGCGTCTGCAGCCGCAGGTGTTAGGTGTTGATGGCTCCTGAGATTGCGTCTGAGTCTGACGCCATGACTGCATGTGACCGCATCTTTCGTTTTCTGCTTATCGCCGTGTTGGAGAGCAAGATGGGAAGGTCTTGCTCTCCAACCTGAGAGCCAAAGACAAGTAATGGACACGTCCTTCGCCGATATGCCAAATGCCCACTACAACGGTTTGCGAGGCTCAGTCCCTTACTCGACACTGAAAACACGTTCCAGTTGACACACATGGAACGTCGGGGAGAGTTCGCTTGAGTTCGCAGCGTGAGCACCCAGCTTTGAGATCGAAGCTTCTTTCAAGGCTCTGGGCGGACTTCATTGATCCATCGTCGGGTGAGTCTTTAACTTGGCTCCGGAAGCCTGCCAAGCAAGGGTCTTGGGTGAATGCTTCAGTCAGGCCTTTCTACACTTCCACTTCCACCAGCTTGTTTGACTGCTTGGAACTCGGTCTTCTGACAGGAGTGGAAGGCACGATCTTGCGATATCTTGCGGAATTCGACATAGCGGTCAGTGCAGTGTTCTGCAGATGTCAGCAGCCTTCCGACACAAAACCGGATGTTGAGGTGACGAGAGGTACCGGAGCCTCGGATTCGAGGCTAGAGTGCTTTCCTGTTATGGTCCTTACGCGGCATCCGATATCAAACGCAAGCTAGCTTATGACACTCCCTTGGTTTGAAGCGCAGATTCTGGAGCTGGGCTGCTGCCGGTCACTGTGCAATAAGCGATTTGGGCAGTGCTCATCACTGAGTGGTATCTCCGAAATGGAAATTACGTGAATTGTGGCCTCCGGACTGTCGTGCAAAGAGATGAGGCTTGGTGATGACCTCTGCATTTGTGCAAGCCGGGCGCTCAGGGTGGCTGCATGTTGTAGAAGGCCATCGAGACTTGTTTGTTTGCGACCCCGCGCAATGTCCAGGGCACACCGGAAGACGTGCAACCGGCACTGCTGCTGCTGGAGGACAGCTATTCTCTATTCTTATCGGCGAGGTCAAAGTCAACAGGTGTGCGTGTTGTTGCACTTCGATAGGAGCCAGCCAGCGCGGCAGGTTGCCTGGCATGTTGCACCATGTTGACCCTCGCTTTTGTCCCTGTTTTGGGAGTTTGTATGAAGCGTCAGTGCTTGCAGCAGGTCCACCAGACGCCATCAAAGAGCAAGAATCGAAAGCTGATGCTGCTCAGCCAGCTTTGCGGACCCTGGAGGACAGCTTGTCTCTGTTCTGTCGGGCTCCTCTATGGCAGCGCGGCCCGAGTTTGTAAGCATGGCCAGGATTCATGCGCACACCGGATCAACAAACTGCATGGTGGCACGTTCAGAGAACAGAGGGAAGAATCTGCAAGCCAACGCCCAATGTCAGTCCACCAGGATATCGTTAATCAACCATTACCCTGTTTTTTCGATCTGTGGTCGAATGGATTCCCCGGCACCCTTATCTTAGGTCAAAGTCAACAGGTGTGCGTGTTGTTGCACTTCGATAGGAGCCAGCCAGCGCGGCAGGTTGCCTGGCATGTTGCACCATGTTGCACCTCGCTTTTGTCCCTGTTTTGGGAGTTTGTATGAAGCGTCAGTGCTTGCAGCAGGTCCACCAGACGCCATCAAAGAGCAAGAATCGAAAGCTGATGCTGGTCAGTTTGGAACGATTGAGCAAGGTGTCAACGACCTAAGAGTTAGCGAGAGTAGATCCGACAAACACGCTGATTCTGAGAGTCATCCACCGGCGAGACACGGCGGATACATCGCTCAGTAACGTCGGGAGAAATGGCATTTCTGCTCTGTGTGTGTGTGTGTGTACGGTGTGTATATACATATATATATATAAACACACACACATGCGTATATACTGTATATATCTATATATATATATATATCTATATCTATATATGGTGTGTATATATATACACACATACAGTGACACATACAGACACATATACATACGTACAAACACATATGTATGTGTATATATATATGTATGTATATGTACATGTATATGTATATGTATATGTATATGCATATGCATTTGTATATGTATATGTATATGTACAGGGGCTCGAACTCCGCAGCAGCGCGGATTGCGAAAGCCCCCAGAACTCCTTAGTATAGCCCTGTGGGAAATGGAGTTCGCCAAGTGCCGGAATATGGAGTGGCAAAGCCACTCTGCTGACATTAAGACGCAGGCTAGTCTGGTTGACAACGTCCAGGCCACAATCCAAGAGGATGTTCTTCCTGACGATGTGCTTAAGCAACACATCCTTGAAGTTATGTCAATGCTGATTGCCTATGGTGCTATTTCGCTTCGGGCTCTTCGGAAGTTCTTGCAGCTTCGCTTGAATATCAACTTGATGGGGAGACGTTCCGACATCCGCAGGTTGGCGATGATCGTTGCTGATGAGCTTGCTTCTGACAGCCAGCCAGCTGCCGCTTATGCACCTGTTTGGGAGGCTCTGTCCGTGCAGACAAGCCTCGGAACAACGCTGGCACCGCACTGCATTGGGGCACCGGGCCATGGGGATCGGGGCCGATGTTTGTTCTCTTTTCTGAGTGATGTTGGGGATGCGGATGCTTTCGGCCATGCTGAAGGTGAGCTTCACTCAAGTCGGTAGCATGATGGCCCATCTGGGAAGACATGCTACGGCCAGTCAGGAAACGGATGTTGGGAGTTATTCTGCCTTGAACACGGTATGCAGCCCGATGGACAGCTGCCTCCGGACCAGGCGGCTGATTGCAACGATGAGGCCGTGATTACCTCTCCCAAGGTATCTGGTGAAATTCCACCGATGCCACATGGTGTGATGGCCGAATTTAGTGCCATGGTCGTGGATGATGTGTGTACCGGGATCAGCCGGCAGCCTTTCCCTACAGAGCTTTTCTTTACAGGGATGGAGAATGCCGCGAACAGCTTCGGTCGTGGATGTTATGCGATGCGGCCGAAGTTCGTGGACCCAGACGCGCCTGCCGATAACAGCGCAAGGCTTCAACCTGGACAGGTGCGTTCAGGCTGGATGTCGCCTTTCCACTTTGATGAACTACATCCCGGTTGAGGGTAAGCTTCGCTTGATGTAGTTTTGTTTTGCGGCGGGATGTAACACTGTGACATACGGTTTTTTCCAGCTCGCTGGCCGGTTTAAGGTTGCGTGTTTTCCCTCCCGGCTCCAGGTGCGCAGATTTCTGCGCCGCAGCTGTCAAACACGTTGCGAGTGCACACTGCCCACGGGGCGAGCCCGATCTTGATTAAGTGCACCTAACAGGGGCTGCGACCGACTCGGATCCTTTGCCCGAAAGACGTGAAAGACGTGA